CCTTGAGTGCCAAGATTAAATGATCTCAACATGAAAACCACAAACTTTATCAAGTATGACTACGCAATATTCTCTAATAGGAATGACTCAAGAATTATCCTAAATCATTTCAATAACCCCTCGACATCTCGGTTATTTGTTATGAGGCATTACTTTATCTAATATATAATCCATTTTAACAACTCTATTGGATAACCAAATGAGAATTCTTCGCCACCCGAAGAAATTGCATTAAATAAGGTTTCATAATAATAATCTATGTTTGATATCTAACTCACCGAATTCGAGAAATACCACTTCAATCAAAGTTAACCTTGAAATCAAGGTCACTTTTGTGCACAGCTTTGAATGTTTGTATTGTTGTCACTATAATGAAGCAAGCAGTTCCCGTTATCTCAGTGAAGAGGGCAGAAACAGAATTGTACGAGCACAAGCTGGGATTTTCGATATCAAGTCTTGCCCAATGCTTTAACGTTAACAAAAGCACGATTAACAAGATAATCCATGGTAAACCAACCACCAGAACAGCTTGTGGGGGCTGTTAACCGAGTGCATCCAAACAGGAGAACGACCTGATTCGTACTACTCTGAAAAAACATTGCAGAAAATCGTTGTAGTCTAACCAATGGGAAGATCTTCCCCGCCATTCATACTGCCTTCGGCAGTAGACTTCAGAAAAGGTTCAGTTCTTGCAACTTCCCCCTATTAACCTGGATCTCAGTGTGATTGAAAATCTGTTTTTTGTTTTGATGAGAGATGTCAATTTGCTACCTGTACATTGGACACTGGAGGCAAAAGTGCGATATTTAATGAAGCATAAAATGGAAAATGACTTCATAACAAAGTTGGTGGATTCGATGCCGAAGAGACTCGAAAAAATCCTAAAGATTAAAGACAGATCGATCGACTATTAGTGTACACAAACTTTACATCTTACTTATTATCAACGTTAATTTGTTGTTACTAAAAACTGTTCCATTCCCTTCAGTTACCTCTTAACTCATCATGATCTAGGTCAATCACTGCTGATGAAATGGAAGTATCCGCCACATTCTGAACCATCCCATCTGCTGAGTATAACGGAATCAAAAAAGTCACGTCTATAAAGACTCACTAAGGCTTGTTTATTATTATTTAGAAAAAAAATGTTTCACTGGGACCCGTTGCTTTAGTTTCGATTAGACTTATATTTACATATATATATATATAATGATCATTCGTGTTCAGTACAATAATCACTTTCCCCGGGATTCGTTCAGTCTGTAACGTTCGATGGAAACAGCGGGATTCGAACCCTAATTCAGTGTGACGTTAAATTGTTCGGGTAAAAATGTTCAATATTTTTCAGCTGTCGATTCTGAATTTCGTGTCAGCACAGCGCCCACTATCGGGGCACCGAAATCACCAGTTTTATCGCACTTCTACCGAAAGATCATGTACATTTATACCCCTGACGAGGCGTTTTGTCCCTAGTGTGAAATCACAACCTTTCTGTGCTCTGCCACTCGTTTGTGTAACACTCGAGGAAAGAATTAAATAATTAAATAATCGAGGCACCAAATTGGTTTGTGGGTCTTCCATTGTACAACACCGTTATGCTCGTCCTGTTTTGATCAAGCCTAAGAACAGAATGTGTGTATCGATCTTTATTATCCCCCTCAATACCAGTGCATCTAGCGGTTTGAACAGACTTACGGGAGCACAGTTCAGTCAGATAGCTTTGTCACGAAATATGTTGCTGACCATTTAGTTGGATTTGCCAGTTCTGTATCTGCTCTGATGTTATCGCACCAGCTGCGCTAAAACGTGCTGATATAAAACTACTGGTGATTCCTAAAGAGCATGGTGTTCAGTTTATCTGATAGATGGGGATTAATTCTTTCGCTTAACTATGAGATTGGATAACTTGTTTCTTTTTGTGCTTCTAGATACGTTTGCTGATTTTACGTGTCTCATCCCTGAAGTGCTCTGTTCTGCGACCACGTTTCTGAAACACTCATAAACCGATTCTCATTTGTATTATTTTTACGAAATCGAGAACTTTGGAAACGTAATTCCGAGGAGGGAGGTAAAGTTTAACACCGTTAAACAGTATTGAGTACCGCATCACCGTACGCAGCTGCTAAGCATTGTTAAACTTTTATTGCGAAACCGTTTTTATGGGTTCGCTTCCTGTCAACTTTCACCCCAATTTGTTCATCCTTCCCTTACTGTTTTTTCCTTCCTGTCGCGGTTAGCTTCACTTAGCCGACTACCTTCTCCCTAAAGACCGGCTGTCTGTCACTTCCACGAACAGAGTCCAAGATGACACCCTCTCGTTGGAGGATCTGTGGATCAGTATTTTTTGTCATCTGGCTGATCTCTGTTTGGATCGACGACCGGCCATCAGAAAATCCGCGTGTCAAACTCTGTTCAACACGGTTGAATGTCATGGGTCACGATTCGATTCGACCACTTGGTCTGCCATGTTTTGGAAGGTTAGTCACAGTGTCACACACACAGACACATCGAGTGAATGACAGAAAAGATATATGAGCGATGAGATATTTTATTCATAAAATTACTCAAACTGATGCAGCTCGATGAAGTCTGTGATCACTTGTTGTATCTGAAATCTGTTCTCAGGAAGTGGTTTCAAAGGAAAAAATCAGTACTATAGTGCATAGATTTGAATTTCTACAAATTCTGTGAAGTAAAGCAATATCGGCTGATCGAGCATGATGAAACAAAAAGCGTAACTAAAAGCATTGGACAAAACTACACCTTTTCCCATTAAGCTTTAGCCAAAACTCACAATCCTTCAGCCTCGACCCGAAATGCTTTAGCCAAACCCGTAGTCCTTTAACCTGAATGCACAAACTTTGGTCACGCCGCAGTAGACGAGTCAGATCAGAAAGAATCGGAATATTCTGAAATCAGCGAATGTTGAGAAAAATTATTTACCACAAATGTTGATGTTGCAAAACTTGGTTAAGAAATAATAAGGTGTGTGTGTGGGGGGGGAGGTTGCATGCTGCAGCACATGTTCATTGGAGAAGGTTTAACCGATGTGCCTGTGTCGTCAAATCACTTGACACATCTCTTACGCCTAGGAGTAAAAATCTCAAGTGTAACTCAAATGATATAAGGTTTTGAATTCACACGCCCTGATTTAAATCAAAAAGTATATGGTTGCCTTTTTGTATATCCACCTAAAGGGAACTCTGATTTTGACATATGGATACATTAAAAGGTAGAGGATAATAAACACTGACCACAAAAGACCCCTTTAAAACACTTTCCTAAGAAGTCATAGACAAAAACCGGTAATAATCAAGCCTCGATCATGGTAATTATAACTTACATTGCATCGTTAATAAATTGATGATAGTTATGAGGGTGTACTTTTACGAACGGTTTGCTATCTTCAGCAGGTTTTTGTACCCCCTTCTAATGAACAAAGTTCACTTGTTAATGCAAAGCAATGTATAGTATGAGTTACACTTGAGATTTTCACTCCTAGGAGTATTGCGTGTTATACAGAAACACTGATGATGTACGAGCTGTGTCCAATGGTTTGACGATACGGGCAGGTCAGTTAAAGCTTCTCCAATCAACATGTGTTGCAGCATGCAAACCCCACACCTTATTTCTTAACCAAGCTTCGCAACATCAACACTTGTGGTAAATAATTTTTCTCAACATCCGTTGATTTCAGAATACTTCGATACTTTTGATTTGACTCGTCTACTGCGGTGTCACTAAAGTTTGTGCGTTGAGGCTGGAGGACTACGGGTTTTGGCTAAAGGTTGATGGGAAAAGGTGTAGTTGCAGGATTATCGCTAGGATGATTCATAGGTCAAGTGTAGTCCATGGGTCAAAAGGATGAAATTTAATCAACGACGTTAATGATTAGGTTGTGTGTGTGTGTGTGTGTGAATGGACAAGCAGCTGAACATTTTTCGATCTCACCAGAACAGCACTCAGTGTGTTACCATTAGTTTCATTGTGTTTACTACCGGATGCAACATTCGAATGGCGATTATTTCGACTGTGTGCAGACGATAGACAATGCACCAGTCAAGTTCTTTTTACGTCCTAGGTTGTAGCAGCATCCGTTCTCGTGGCGCCTTTACATTCGGTCGTGCTTTTTTACTATAGACTACGGTGATTGGGGCATATGCTGTTCATGTCACCAAATAGGTTGCCAAACCCGCGGTATTTACCGAGGTAGACAACCAATGGAAAAAGGTCAAAGGTGGTCAAACCAAGATCTAGTATGTGAGTATGAAAATCCCATTCAGGAGACTGGGTCACATAGGTGCTGTTAGGCTTCCGGGTTGGAGACACCCATATCATGTTAACCAAGTGCCGCAAACAGTGTTGCTCGTGCACCTGCTCATTCTCTTTGCAACTTTATTCTATGTGGACTCTATCTTCTGTGTGACTCTGCTCTTTTACCCAAGTGGATAGTCAAAAGACAGCAACTGATACCGGTGCATGAAAGCGCATGCTTTAATGGTTGTAACAAATGAACTGAAAACCGAAACTCGTACTATCGGACATAATTTCGTAAGAATACCATGAAGAAACTCACGTTCCTGGTTTCAGACAAAGTTGTTGAATCATCGAAGTCGAATGTTATCGTGCAGNGAAACGGATAAACTTTCAATCGGTTCAATTAAGGCCTGCATTGCAGCTGTTGATGACTCATATCGGATTTTACGCATCATGCGCTTGACATTTGTGAACACAAATTGGTCAAACGGATTCAGGTCTGAACTGTAGGGTAGCTGAGCAACCTTCTGAATGCGTTCTCCAGCCAGTTAATCGTCCACCACATGGCAGCTTTGTGCACATGCGTTGTCATGGTGTAGCAAGGTCCCTCGTGCTCGCATCCTTGTATGAAGCTTGGCAACAGCTTACCACACTTTCNCAGTGTCTGTGCTTTGCTGCACCATCGGTGCAGTAGCCAGCCACATAACCGGTTTTGACCATGATCACAGCCACCATCTGCTTCGCCACAATGGGCTCGCATAGGAATTTCAGAGGCGGCATTTTACCAACCGGCGTCCGCTGAGACGATTGTTGCTTAATCGCTGAGGCGAAACTGCACACCCAGGGCTGCTCACCATAGATGATATCCCAAACTAGATTGGAAAGTCCACCATCAAACCTGACAAGTGGTACCAATTCACGCGATCTGTTTTCTGTTCCTCAGGGAGGTAATGGGTTACCCAGCGTGCGCGAACCTGTCTGAGCCCGAGGTATGGATGGATCCCGATGGCTTTCGCCAGCTGTACCACTGTCACTGTGTTCCTGTGCATCCTGCTCCACCGTCGCTTGCACAGCAGCATAGTTGTCCTCTGTGGTGTCCT